TCCTCTCCCCAGACTCCAGAGCCTATGTAGGAACCTGGGGAGGGCGAAAACAGCCTGTTTTCCGACTTCTGGTGGGCCTGCAAAATCAGCTGCGCGCCGGAGCTGAGCTTGTGTGACCACTGATATTGCTCCGTGTGCCACCTGTGGCACACGTGCTATAGGTTCGCCATCACGGCGCTAACCTGCCGTCCTCTTGATTTCTTAGACTAAATTATTTTATCAATTCTAATCTGCCTGTTCCTGGCCTTTCTAGTTACCCTGGACTGGCCGAGAAACAGGCTATAGTTCAACATCTAGCCCAGTGGTAGTCAACTTGGTCCCTACCGCCCACTAGTGGGCGTTCCAGCTTTCATGGTGGGCGGTAGGGGTTTGCTGTGACTCTGCTTTATAAATTTTATAAAGTAAAGTTACTTCCCTACTTTATAAATCACCATTACTGTGGAACTGGCAGGCGGTTAGAAAATTTTACTGCTAACAGAGATACAAAAGTGGCCGGTAGGTATAAAAAGGTTGACTACCCCTGGTGTAAGCTCTAGCAACTGAGTTGAACAAGAGGGATTTCTTCATTTTTGAAAAACCGTGCCTTGCAAGTTGAATGTAAACAAAGCATATTTTCAAAATCAATTGTTACTATTTGAAATCGTGAAGCTGAATAACAATTTCTCTGCAAATTTATTTCCTCAAACACCTTGTCTGGGCATTCAGAAATCCTAACAAGAAGAAATATATCAGCTCATCTACTTTCAACTTCTTCAAGTTTGTAGAAAAAGTTTAGAGGTAAGCTATAATAATATATTTAATAAAAGAGATTATATAGCATACCTGGTTTTTGAGAACCATAATAATCAGTGTTTTCTTTCCATAGGGAATTATAATAATATTTAGCTGAAAGTTATTATAACCTCTTTTCAAAATTTTCTACCATGGGAAGTTCTCTCCATATTTATAATGCCCAAAACAAAGGTATTTTCAACTTTTGAACAAAGACATCAAATTATTATATATAATTGAACCCTCTTGATAAGTGAGCTAGGATTACTTTCTTGTAAAGAGCTTGTTTTTTCCTCCATTCAGACATTTGGACTCTTACCCCCCCCCCCCATAATCAGAGAATCTGTTGTGTGTGTTTTTTTCAAACAGATCCCATGGATTGACTAAATTTGAAAATTACTGAACTGCATTATGAATGCGGAAATGGACTTTCTGCCCTAGTTGCAGGGATGGGATTCTACCGGTTCGGATCAGTTCAGTTCACCTGAACCGGTAACTCCGATGATCAGCGGGGAGCAAACCAGTTTGTTCCCATGATCAAGTGGGCCAGCCCGCCCACCCCTCAGCTTTACCTACATTTATCTTCTTAGCTGAGTAACGCAGCAGAGTGGATTGGAACGCCTCAGCTGTTTCCTTCCCAAGCAGCAATCCGGAAGGTAAATATTCTCTGAATTGCACACAAGCTCACATAAAGCGGGCACTCAGCGAACCGATTGTTAAACCAATAGGATCCCATCCCTACCTGGTTGATCACTGTAGGTATATAGTAATTCTGGATTTCTGCACTGGACAAGGGCTCAGATTAGATTACTTCCAAATTCCTTTCCAAGTTTTACAATCGATGGTTATATGATTTTAGATGATGAAAGCTATTGGAAAGCAAGCAATTCATGCTAAATTTGATACTCTTAAAGCAAACCTTGAACTCTTTGAATTTGAAGCATAAAGTAAGTGTCTTTCTCATCTTACAGACTAATGATTCACCTATGAAATTTTGAAAAGTGAGGACCAATATTTTTTCCTATTTTAAATTGAGTAGCCACATAGATTACAGACCTGACATGCAATAATCTGGATGACCACTAGATAGTTATTTGGATTTTTGCAGACCAAATATGATAGTTCTGCTATTAAGCTGTAGTTCTGAAAATTAAGGTTGCAGACATTGAGAAAATATATTGTGAAGAATATATTATGAAGGGTAAATGTGTACTGTGGAAAGCAGAATTTTTTTTTGCAGGATTGCTGTTTATTTCACATTTTAAATATAATTTAAAATCAGCGAGTTACTTTTCAAAGCAACCAGCAAAATACTGCAATGATATCAAATATCAGTGAAACGTCCAATAGCAGTTATAACTGATTGCTTTGTCCATCTCTACTGGAATGTAACATTGGGCCATCTTCCAGTGAAGAAGATGGATCCTTTTTTGAGTTCTTCTTTTTCTTTCTGACTGTCTTGACCTGAAGATAATCCTCAATGGGTTTCTCATTTGGGTCTTCCAGTAATGTTGTCAGTAAATTAAACAGTAGTGCTATCCAAGCAAGTCCGAAGATAATCCAAATTGCTACCACAATCCGATAGCCAGGGAAGTAGAATTTGTCACGTTGCCTCCCTGGAAACACAGAAGAAGTAAAAGTTGAATAAAACAAAAAAAAATGTAAAAAGCAAATGCATGTTATCTGAACTTCTGTACTTAGAGGAAGAAAATTGCATTCCAGGGAGACTACCGTATTTTTCAGACTATAAGACGCACAGGTGTATAAGACGCACCAAGATTTCGAAGAGGTAAATAAGAAAAATGTTTTTGTCCTCCCTGGCCCCCAGGAGCACTCTACAGGCATCAGCAGGGCTGGGGGAAGGCAAAAACGCCCCTGTTTTTGTGAAAAACGGGTGGAAAATAGGCTGTTTTTCGCAAAAACTGAGGAATTTTTTGCCTCTCCCCAGCCCTGCTGAAGCCTGCAGAGTGCTTCTAGGGGCTGGTGGAAGGCAACCATGCC